CCAACGAAGCTAGCTTCGATTTTGGGCTGGGGGAACAAGCCCAGCCTACTAGGCTGGCTGTTTGGTTGTGGGTCGGAGCTAGGACAAAGCCTAACAAGCACAAAGGCTTGCTAGTAGATCAGGCCAAGCTGCAGGGTTTTGGCCCAGCAAAGCTGCAGACGTGCTGGTGGGCTCGGGTCTTCATGCTCGTGTGAAACTTAAACCAGGTCGAAGCCTAGTTGTATTGCGCAGAGGCAACAAGCCCAAAGGGCTACTGCGAGTGTTCTGTCCCAAGATGGTCCATGTAGCTAGGCTTCAGGCCAATGATGGGGTATGGCGGTGGTGGTATTGACGGTGGCGCGGCAGTGATGTCGCGGCTCAGCCGCAAAAAATCCTAGCTTTTTTTTCTCGAATTCTAGGGTTAAAAACCCTAATTGCTTTTAAATTAATTTCGATACTTGGACTCACAAATTCCACATATCATAATTGCATGTTGTATGAACAAGTATATATTGACAAAATATATATGCATATATACAATATATATAATTGAAAGGAAACTATAAATATAGGGAGTTCATGCATCATGGGGAATGTTTTCATGCTTCAAAGTTTTTTCAAATATCTTAATTTATTTTAGAAGAACCTGATTGGCAGAAAACAATTGAAAGCCTTTGAATTTGTAGAAGAGATCCTCCTCTTACGATCCTTCAGTTCCTTAGCTTCTAGCAAAAGCGTGTTGATAAAGTATTGTAGGCCTATTTGACTGAACTGTATAAAGGGCAGAGAAGGAGAGGGGTCGACGACAACAGAGAGAAAAGAGAGATATGTAATTCTGAAGTGTGTATTGCATCACCCCCTTATGCTTTTATTTATAGTAGTAGGATTGGTAGAAACCTTACCCTAATAAGATTATGTCTTTAATAAGAATTAAACTACTAAAGGGAATATACAAGATACTCCTAGATACACTAGGATTTACACAATCACATTCCTAATCCAATAGGACTGCAACAACATTGAGGATTTTAAGTAGTGATCTAAAAAGTAGACAATTATGATCATTAAGCAACATTGCAAGATGAGATAGAGAGATGGAAAAGTTAAACGAAAATGTCCAAACGAGAAGGTTGCTAGCATTCCCCTTTACGTTTGATTATCCACAGTTTCATTTTATTTTATCCAATAAATTATAATTTCTCAAAAATTTAAAATGACTAATTAATTTGCCTTGAAAATTTTATGTGATGATTATCGAAAGAAACCTAAAATATAGATTGTTTTGATAATTAAAATGCATTATGGGTAGCCTTAAAAGAAAGATGTGGACAGTCCTTTTCTATTTTTTGAAAAAATATGACATCCTTATCATAGAAAACCTCTTGGTTCTGGGGTTATTAAATTGAACTCAAATTTTGTAATTTTAAAATTACTTCAAAAAATATTATTTATACTAAGGAGGGAAGGTGAACTTAGCTTTAAGATGAGCTAGTAATAATGTGATTCAACTTTGCCTTTGGAGATAATCGAATCTAAGACATCTCACTTACAAATGAAGATGAGTACTATTAGACCGTAGTACTAAGTGGTAATCTTAAAATTACTTTAGAATTGCAAATTACTACTATACTTTAGTAGTATTTTTATGTTTGAATCTCATGAAGAGTGAGTTTATTCGTCCACTCTTTGGAGTAAAAATTTTTTGTATGAAAAAATAAAATAAATCATTACTTAGAGAGTTTAGACTTCTACTATAAATAAATTTATTTTTAGGAAAAGAAAAAAAATAAAAGAAGAAAGAGGAAATGAAAATAATAGGGCCATGAAGTATTTTCACAAACTTCCTCTCCCTCTCTCACCCCATTTCTATTGGTTTGTAAAATTTAATCTCCGTAATAAATTTAGTCTATAAATTTAACGATAAACTCTCCTCCACCAAACAAAATGCTTCCCCACACTTCCGTCCACCACCACCACAACGCCATCCTCTCCTCCTCCCTCTCCTACTCCCGCCCCCTCCCATGCAAAATCCCAACTCGGACCCTGCCCGGTTCCATAAATTTTCTAAAACTCCCCGCCATCTTCTGCTCCATATCCCAAGTCCACAACTATGGCACCGTGGACTACGAGCGGAGGCCCATGGTCAAATGGAACGCCATTTACCGGAAAATATCGCTCACGGAGGACCCCGAAGTGCGGTCTGCTGACGTGTTGAACCAGTGGGAGAAGGAGGGCAGGAAGCTCACCAAGTGGGAGCTTTGTAGAGTGGTCAAGGAATTGCGGAAGTACAAGCGCTATGACAGAGCTCTTGAGGTAAAAGAAGTGAAATTTATACTGAAAATTTGTATTTTGTGCTGTTATTTTGTGGGTTTAGGGTGTTTTGATTAGTGGGTCATTCATAGTTTTGCTGGGAAATGCTTCAGTTGAATCTGTGTCTTTATGCTCCTGGGTAAATTCGACATTGGGTTTTTCAATTTGGTGTTTCTGAGTGTACTTTTATTGATAGGTAAGTGAAAAATCAAATTTACTATTTAAATTGATTGGTCTGAAAGTCTTGTTTCTCATGTCTCGGTACAATCATGCATTGGTTTAGGTAATGCAGTTCATATGTTTCTCTAGGTTATAGTATCGGTATTTGGAAACTCTTGGCCTAAAGTGTTAAGCAACCGATACAGTTTAAAGGCCTATTCCGAGTCTGTTAGCTGAAGGAACAATGAGATTTTTAGATGTCACAACTGCTGATTCTCTCAAGATGTCTTGAGATTGCTTATATTGGAATGCATTATGCATGTTCGTATAAAATGACAAATCATCAAGTATCTGTATACTGTGATTGCGAAATGGAATAATCTCTGAAAGGATGTTTTCGTTACAGGCCAACTCTTACAATGTCTTGAAACTTTTAGTAATTTTTGTTTGTCACCTTATAGTAAGCCAATACATACAAATGAAAATGTAACCTGGATTCTAAATTGATTTATATCATAAGGGCTCTATGACCATACGGAAGGTTTTGACTCATATGAACCAAAGCGAGAGAGAGTAAGATTTTATTACTGAATGACATGGAGTGGAGAAGTCTGAGGATAGAAGTGGTAAAGTAGTAAATTTCACCTGATTTGCTGTATTTTTTGAATTGGAGAGGCAAGATGGCATGTCGTATTGGAGAGACAATATGGCATGTTGTATTATCGGTTCTGAATTTTTCATGCACCCTGCAGGTGTATGATTGGATGAGCAACAGGGGAGACAGGTTTAGAATATCCACTAGTGATGCTGCAATTCAACTAGATTTATTTGCTAAAGTTCGGGGAGTTGCTAGCGCTGAAAATTACTTCCTGAGCCTGCCAGATACATTAAAGGACAGGAGAATATATGGGGCTCTACTCAATGCCTATGTTTGGGCTAGAATGAAAGAGAAGGCAGAAGCATTACTGGATAAAATGAGAACTAAAGGTCATGCATTGCAATCTCTTCCATTTAATGTGATGATGACACTCTATATGAATCTCAAAGACTATGATAAAGTTGATTCGATTATTTCTGAAATGATAGAGAAAAACATCCAGCTAGATATATACTCCTACAATATCTGGTTATCGTCTCGTGGATCCCAAGGATCTGCAGAACGGATGGAAGAGGTTTTTGAAAAGATGAAAGTGGACAGAACCATTAATCCCAACTGGACCACATTCAGCACAATGGCTACAATGTACATCAAGATGGGGAAGCTTGACAAAGCCGAAGCTTGCCTGAGGAAGGTTGAGAGTAGAATCACAGGTCGGGATCGGATACCTTATCATTATCTTTTAAGTCTTTACGGCAGTGTTGGCAAGAAAGAGGATGCTTATCGGGTGTGGAATGTATACAAAGCAATTTTTCCCAGCATTCCGAATTTGGGTTACCATGCGATAATGTCTTCTCTGCTCAGATTAGGTGATGTTGAAGGGGCTGAGAAGCTTTATGAGGAATGGCTGACGGTTAAGTCAACATACGACCCTAGAATTGCAAATCTTTTTATAGTGTTTTATATTAAAGAAGGGGATTTTGATTCTGCCCAAAGTTTCTATGACCACATGGTTGATGTAGGAGGAAAACCCAACTCGAGTACATGGGAGTCCCTCGCTGAAGGGCATATGGAAGAGAAGAGAATTTCTGAGGCATTATCCTGCTGGAAAGAAGCTTTTTCTGCTGAGGGATCAAAGAGTTGGAGGGCAAAGCCGGTAAATGTTTCTGCCTTCCTCGAACTTTGTGAGCAAGAATCTGATTCGGTAAGCAAAGAGGTTTTCATGGGACTTTTGAGGCAGTCAGGACAGCTAAAAAATAAGTTGTATGCATCATTTCTTGGCTTAACTGATGATGTTAATGATAAAACTATTGTTAATGAGGATGATGATGAGAAAGCAGATGACGGGTCAGAAATTCTTTTGAACCAATTGCAGGACACTACCCCGTGATACTTCTTGAATGTTTGGGAAAATCTGCTCTAATTTATCGGGTTTACCGAAAGTTTTTCACTGAGATAGGATCCATTCACGTTTCAGTGTGGTCCTTCCTTTCCATGATTACATTCTACTTGTTGTGGCTGGGTATATGCGAGCTGCCAAGTTGATAGGGCCTTCATATCGGAGTGAGTTCTGAACGGAAGATTCTGCTCTGCAGAAGAATATGTTGGTGATTTGTGACTGGAGACGCCATCTCCACTCATCGTTTGCGGTGAGTGTTGTTATGAAGTTCTTGATGTAATTTGTGTAGTTAAAGAGCAAGAATCTATGCAGTCGATTACATATAACTATAAATTCCTAAATGATATGTTAATATAGCCAATTTTGGCCGTCTCTCCCGCTCTCTCTCTTCAACATTAGTTGTTGAAGGGTTAAAACAAGAAGTAAGGGCGAAAGCAGCGTAAGTTGTTTGCTGTAAGTTTGATAGTCCCAACATTAGGAGGACACCATTGTGGATGATCGACGCACATTACCTCGAAACAAGCACCGCAAACGAGCCCGTCGTTGAATAGTACTCTACAGCTGTTGTCTCCGAGTCATAGCCTTCTTGGCAAAGATCACTGTATATCCATATGCGCCTTCTGTTTAAAGTACAAGAAATAGATCAAGTTAAAACTATCCATGTATCGGAAACAAAAATTTTGTATGTGCCGGTTATATATACATTCCTCTCATACGTATGGCACTAAATGGGTTCATTACTATCGTGAGAGAGAGGTGTTATATGAAACCAGTGAATAAAATAAAAATTCTTTCACTTACTCATGGTTCCTGATCCACCCATGTCACCATAAAGCGTTGCGTGTGCATCGTCCCAATCATTGCTCACGGCTTTCTCGGCCAATGGCGCTTTTGTTGCCCATGGCTGGAACCAAAAGAGCCATGGACACTGCCCATGGAAACAAGTTCTGAAACTTAGCCAAGACTATATATGATTGTGTGAGAAAAGCGGAATACTATTGCATTTTTACACACACACACACAAACGCACACGCACACATTGTGGTCTTTGCAGGCCCATTTTCCATGTGCAATGAAGTTAGTGTGGCGGTTGGTAAATCCAAACATGCAAGCAAGGAGCCTGTAGCCATGTTCACATAGATTCTTATCTCATTCCATTCCAGTGGCTCGAGTAGTAACCAATGGTGAAAACTAAAAAATCCATGGTTTCCCGCTAGAACCCCATTTCACCCAAGTTGGTGTGAAACTGGAAAAAAGAAGCGGTTTTTCGCACAGCTTGCTCATAGTGCAAGTCCCACTTGTATATCGTATTTGGCCGAAGAAGCATTGGACAGGTTGGAGTTCTTACCTTCTTGGACTCAATGGACCAAGATCTGCTATCATTATATGGGCATGGCAGTTGCTTATTAGATACATAATTAACGTTAAACTTGGCTGGTAATGTCTTTATTGGATTAAGTCATCCCAAAGCTGAGGTGGATGGCATTATCTGGATGGGTGTTTATACTAAGTATAACTCGTGAATTGTTTTCTTTCTAGTTTTGTTTAAAGTGATAAAGTCTTTTCTTAAACAAACGAGATATCAGAGTGGAGCAATCAAACTCGGGAATTAAGATACAAGAGTTAACAATACTTTTGATTCACTGAGCTACAAGCCTCTTGCTATGCTGAATAAGTTCTTAATTTCCTACAACACTAAATTTTATTTATTTGTACAAACAATAGTAGGAGGACAGAACGACCACATAACCTTTGTATAAAAAAACAGATAGAAGAAAGGATCAATTTTTTTACTAGAAGGTAAATAATAATTCTAAAGGATCATCACATTCTTTATGTAGGTTCTAATAATATTTGACAAATGATAAGGAACTACATCAACTCATACTCTTGATCTTTCTAATGATGAATTGTTTAGGATGGCTAATAGTCACTTCCTCCAAATTGTCCTACACAAAATTAGGAAAGCTCAAACTTTGAAGTAAGCCAATACACCCACAAAAGGTGCATTGATATATGTGGTTGGCTCCGATTGTGGAACATTATATCGAGAGTCTTGAAATGTATCATTCTCAGCAGGCCCTCCCACAACTGCACCTATTAATAAATTAGGGTTTGGATCGGTGCTTTTGAAATACAAGTCTCCTTCATGGCACTGCATGTGTTGTGGGTGCTTATCCATGGAAGGTATCACTGATCCCCGGTGATGTATTTTCTGAGGGAACTTTGGCCCAAATCCAACCATGTATGACATCTCCAATGGGTTGCTTCCTAGTATATAATCAACCTGCATTAAAATTACCAATTAACTTCAGCCACAAATTATAATGTAACAATTAAAAATCTAATAGGATTGTTCGCGCATACAGATGATGATATATGTTGCGGCCGGACTTACACATATGTTGCTAGACTGTAAATTTAGACCGGACATTTTGACAAATATGGAGACGTATATGTACCTGTCCTTTGGTGAAATTCACCAGCCTATCTGGAGTGATAATAACATTGTTGCCACAGTTCACAACTTTGTTGGCAGCTTTCATGTAGCCAGCATAAACTAAAAGAAGAAATGATAAGGATGTTGAATGTTGCAGGTTACTTCCTCCAGGTTTGAACAATAGCCCACCTGATATATATATATATATATATATATATATATATGAAAGTAGAAAATTAGTATATCAAGATAGGGAAATACGTACCGATCTTTTACGCAGGTGTGTGTGTGATATGCATAAATGCTGAAAATTTTATTTATAAATTCATTAGTTTTACTATTTCAAAATACGCACATAAATAAATGTACAGTGACAAAGTAAGAGTGTGACTAACATTTTTCGTCATTAACATATTTTCAATACTTTACGATAGTGATTCACATTTTGGAAAACTAATGACATAAATAGTTGGGTCAATTATAGGAAACTACCTGGTGAAAATGTGACTGATTTTGGAGCAGGTGATTCAGGCAAAATAGAGCATACTAACTCGTCCGCCTTGGGAATAAAGGGATTAGAAATGCTGGGATCAGTCATCGCCCACTGCAAACAAAGTAAATAAAAGAAAAGAAAATTTAGCTGGATTGAAAACCTAACGTAGGTTGATCAAAAGAGAAGAGATGAAGAAAATGGTGTTAACTGAAAACTGACCTGAGAAACAAGTATGTTGATGCCAGAATGCTTTGAATCCCATCCAAATTCAGTGACAGAACCAGTTAAGTACGGACCGCCATTAACCTTTCTTATTACAGTGGACTCCAAGTAGTGTATGTTAGCTAGGACATAGTCCCAGTAATATGGTGCCTTGGTTACCTTGTATAACCACGCAGCTCCCCAGAGCAGTTCATCCTGCAACAATTGTTTTATTAGTCGCACATAATTGTTTATGCTGAAAAAAGTTTATTTAACACGACACTGTATCAAAATTTTTGACATGTAATTAAATTTGGAAAGCAAATTATAAGGTCCCATGATCAATCAGTTATATACCATGTAGCCACTGAAGTCGCAGTAAAATGGGCATGCTCCTTCACCAATACTGTCATTGTAAGACCCCCTATACGTATCCGCGAATTCAAACACCTGATTAATAACCATACAAAGAAAATTTATTAACCTAAAAAGTTTCAATATACATAGCACAAAACATAAGTAGAATGCTATCTAATGCTTGGAATTTTTTATTATGAGACAGTGAATCTCGATCAGAATCATCAGATTGATTGTTGTCTGGATATACGAGACAGATTAATTGACTCACAATACATTTACAAGTCTAGAAAGAAAATACTGTATACCTGAATAGACCGGTTAAGAAGCAAAGCCGAGTAGAATCTGTCCGAATCTTTAAACACCATGGAAGAAGCTGCGAGTGCAGCTGCAATCTCAGCTGAAACCTCTGAGCCTGGCTTTTCTTTAGTTACTACATAAGAGGTTCGAGGGGTGTCCATGTCTTCAGGTCTTTCCCAACAAGTGTGGTCGCTATTGGGGTCACCAACAACGCCAACAACAGAATCAGGTACATTTGTGGATTTAAGCAAATAATCTGTCCCCCATCTTATAGCTTCCAAAGCAAATGGAAGCTCCGGGCCCATTGATTGTCCAAACTCTAGAACGCTCCATGACAACATTGTTGTAGTGAATGCCATGGGAAAGTTGAACTTCACATTGTCACCGGCATCATAGTAACCTCCTACAAGATCCATCTTTGGATGGAAAAAGAGCATATATATGTCATGCATTTAGGTAGTACTTGATACAAAACCTTTATCAAACTCTAAGCGCTTCCACGTACTCTTGAGTGGTTCATGAAATTAAGCACGTTTACTCATAGGGAATAGGAAATTTGAATCATTCTGATTCTTGAGTGCTGTTTGTTCACTAATTAAAACATGGGCATGAGAATCATTTCATCAAAATAAAAATGTGAGTTTCTCAAAATTCTTAAGCAAACACCTGAAAATCGAGAATCAAATTAACTAAAGGGCTAGTTGATCCTTGCTTACTTCTTCTTTTCTGTGTTCTCGATTCCTTGCTTCTTAGAGAAACACCTAATTTGATGAAGCTATAGTAGATGCTTATGTATAAATCATTTAAAAGTACTTTCAATAAACCGTAATTAAAGTAATTACAATTTATTTTTGTCGAACACTGCTAAAAGGACTTTTTATAGCTTAAATCGTTTTTAGCCATTCTAAAAGCACAACCAAGCAAGTCATTAATTTATGGTTATTGTTTTTTTTTTTTTATTTTTCCAAAATTTATGATGATTGTTGACTTTTGTAGACTAAATAGTCAACAAGTATCTGTTTCGGACAATGTATTGCGATTAATTGATTAACTCAGAGAGAGAGAGAGAGAGAGAGAGAGAGAGAGAGAGAGAGAGAGAGACTTACACCAGCATCAGAGCCATCCTTTAGAGCAGAATCTTTCCTCCAAGTGATTCGTTGTGAAGGTGGTAACTTTCCCGACCTTTGGCCTTCAAAAAACAAAAGACACTTTGACAATGCATCTGCGTAGTTATGTGAAGACGCAACTTGTGCTGTGGCCATTGCCAACATCCATGCTAATATTGACAACCTTAGAAGGGAACTGCCACACATGATTTTACTCATTGTTTCTCTTCTTTTACAACCCAATTTTTTCACTATATATATATCAAAAACTTAAAGAATTCTCAATTTTGGAGAAGAACCAATATAATCTCTCTGATTTGATGAAAAGAAACTCAGTAAGCAACTGTTTATATACTACTTAAACGCGTGTTTATGCGTGCCTAGATGTTATGAATTATATGCGTGCATTGTACACACAGTTGGCTTATTTCGTAGATGGAAGTCCACGAGGTCATCAAAATTGGCCTATTTTCCATATAATTCTGCACAGTTTGGAAGAAAGCTAGGTACAATTAACCCATTCAATATTTTTTCGTAACTTAATTGGTAACTTATTTATCCAATATTATTGTAGGTCAAGTGGTCAATTCAAAGTCACCTTTAAGAGCCATTCCATATGTGCTTGAATGATTTACTTATTATCTGGGATGGGTACGTAGTATACAGGTAGTTAGCTTTTCTTTACTTTTCTGTTACAACAGTTATCTATGCGTACAAGATCAATCTTCGTTATTTCTGTTAGACACACACGAATTTGTCAAAATAAATCATCTAGAGAGTTGTTAATCAATTGTCACGTGAATTTAAATGAGAGAGACACCACAACAACACCACATGCCAGATTAGGTAGAAATAGAACGTTATATTTCACCGTGATCAGTATTAATATCGCAGCATGAAAAGCCGCGTCGCAAACATGATAAAAATATGACTTATATCGTGTGATTCTACTACTAATTATACTATGATTTGTTGTTGTGCATTAGGAAGATTTATTTTCTCCACTTTTATTTTGTCTTGTAGAAGAAGCTCTGAGCAGAGTTCTAAACTTACTTAACTCAACTAGACGAATCTCTTTATTTGTCATCTCGATGTTGTTGCCCTCCACAATCTTCATTTTTGTGGGGTTTTTTTGCACGTCAACGTGTTCCTCTTGCACCATATGGAAAAGAAAATAAAAGATGTCTACTTGTGATTTTTAGTGTGGTATGGTTTGAAGCGTGCTTTATCTTATTTAAATAATCATAGTCGTTGGTTTATTGGTTATGGAATGTCAGTTTTCTTTTGGTTTGATAAATATAGTTGGAGGATTTGATTATCAATCCTTTATTTCCCGTCATTTCTCCTGTAATACTTCCTCTCCTTTTAACAGTGGAAGATGACAAAAGTAACTATCCTCCTCTACTGGGGCAATTTTAATTTTCTTTTGGGCATGAGCTTCTTTGAAGTAAACATTTTGATTGCGCTTAGGCTAAAGTTAAATGGCATTCTTTCATCCCTCCACGACTCTCTATTTTGGTTTGACGGTTGTCTCATGACAAACTTCATATGAGGGATGGACAAAATATCCGTGGGTATAGGTACCCGCTTATTAATTTACGGTTACAGTTATGAGTAACCATATAAATAAATAAATATATTGTAGGTATAATTTACTGAACAATTATGGAGGCTAGAAAGAGAAAGAGGGTGCGGCATAGAGAGAGAAGGAGAGAGAGTGTAATTGTGGATGTGTGTTATTCCACCCCATTGTGCTTTTATTTATAGTAGTAGGGAAGGTTAATTCTTTACCCTTTAGGATTACAACATTTAATAGGTAATCTACTCCTAATAGGAATATAAGATAAATTCTTATATTTACTAGGATTTACACAATCACATTCCTATTCCAATAGGATTGTAACAAAATAAACAAACGGTTATGGATAAAACCATTTATTTGTGAAATATAAATGGATGATTATGAGTATTAACCGCGGTTACAAATAGGTACCCATTTAACCATTTGTTTTAATATTTGTAAAATTTTGGAAGTTTAAAATTAAAAACCCTATAAACATTTCGACCTCTCCCAACCTCACTCCTCTCTCTCCCCGATGCCCCCTTTCTCATCTCCGCCAAAATAGTTTCGTCGGTTTAACACTGACTCCAACGGGGTAAACGGTTAAATAGTTAATCGTTTATAAAATGATTATGGGTATGGGTATACCCGTTTATGCAATTACTCAACGGGTAAACGGTTATGCAAGTAAGAGCTTAAATGGTTAAGAGTAAATAACCGTGGTTACCCGCTCACCATAACCATTGCCCATACTTACTTCCCACTAAGGCTGCACTTCAACAACGAGGTATTTGTTTGGCATCTGTTTGTCGCTTGTGTAATGGTTCTGAGGAATCTGATACTCATCTTTGCTTTCGTTGTCCTTTATCAAAGCAAATTTGGACATGTTTGGCTTGTCAATTTGGTATTTCCTTGCCCATTTTTGGTTTTTTGGCAATATTTTGGGATACTTTCGTGCATAAGCCTTTCTCTTATCTGTTACACAATCTCTAAATTTTTGCGAGCCTTTTTACTGTTGTTACTATTTGGAAAGCATGAAATAAGTCTATTTTTAGGATAGACCAGTTTCTTTACACCACCTATGCATATTTATTATGTCCGAGCTCATTCATGTTGGGAAGTTTATCCCCGGATACTCTTATAGTTTGGTATTCGAATAATTTCATCTTTGGATATCCAACCTATCCTTTGTAAAGCTCTTGTTATTGTGCTTTAGTCTCCGCCTTGGTATCCTTGGGTTAAGCTTAACATTGATGGTTTGGCTAAAGGGAATTCTACTTGTGGGCGAGTTTTTAGGGATTCGCATAATCAATTTTTTGGTGGTTTTTGCCAAGGTATTGGCCATAACAATTCCGGTTTTGCGGAATAATTATCAACTATTCTTGATGTTTATTTTGCTTATCATAGGGGTTGACAAACTTTTTGATTGGAATGTGGTTCTTCTAGTGTCCTCGTTTGTCTTTGCTCGGATGACTTTGTCCCTCCATGGCCTCTTTGTACACAATAGTTAACTTATTTGGCTCACATCTGGAATCCTGATGATGACTTTTTATTGCTCTCACATTTACCAGGAAGAAAATGATGTCTCGAAAAGCTTTGCTAACATGATCTTGGCTCCTCAACCTTGGTGTGGAATGATTCACCAACATCGGCGATTCTAGCTTCACTGGATTCTGATTTTCTTAGCTTATGGTTTTCGATTTTCAAATCAGTATGCATCCCAGCTTACAAGTTAGCTCTACTGGATTCTGATTTTCTTACAGATTGTCTAACATTATGTGTTTAGGTGTTTCCAAGCTTGTTTGTATTCTATATTTTAGGCCTTGTTTTGGAGAAGTTCTCCCACCCCCCCCCCTTTTTTTTTTTCAAGCGAGGTAAGATTTATGTTCCTCCTAAAAATGTGTAACTTTCTTTTTTTATTCAATAAAATTCACCTCGTATGGTCGAGGTTTTCTTAAAAAAATACAAAGATTGTTGTGATATTAGAGCATCTCTAGTGGAGTCTTTATATATGGATAACCACCGCATAAAATGAATATAAAACAAATATAGGGATAAATGAATCTCCAATGGATCAGAAAGTGAGTCCCTAAAGTATAGGGACTCGCCGGATACTTGGTGTATGTATCCAAATATAGGGACTGAAATGGTGGACCCAATATGACAATTTAAGTAGAAAAGTAGGCTTGGGTCCAGTCACATGGCCTTGTCTTTTTTTTTTTTTTTTTTTTTTTTTTTTTTTGCAATTGTTTAAAATACAGGGTCCAGATTGATTCTTGCTTTTCAAATTTTTTACCATTGAAAGATCAACGGTTCCAATTAAATATCTGTTTCATTTAGGTTACTCTCCTATGTTTGTTTTCAAATTTTTTTTCTTCTCTTTTTATATTGCTTCTGTTGAAAGATTAACAATTCCAATTTCGGTTACTCTCTAATGTTATTCTCTCATCATTCCTATAAATACCAAATTATCTAACCAAAACTTACCACAACTTCATCTCCTATACTCAATTCGCTCATTCCAGTTACGTTTTCGTGAAGAAAACAATTGGTGTCAGAATTTGAATTATTTTTGGTTAAAATGTTCACAAAAATATTTTACAAGAACGTAATGTTAAATTAATTCAAAAAAATGTGCACCTAATCAAATTATCACATAAAAATGTAAAAACCTCAAACTTAGGGATTCGACTATAAGGACTCTCTCATTAGAGACAATATACATTCAGAGACACAAAGATTCCCTTTTAAGTCCTTAAGGGTGCGTTTGCTTGGGCTCACTAACTCTCCTTGGACTGGATTGGCTTAGCTATTATTGCAATCCCATGTTTGTTAGGATGAAAGATTAGGTTTAATGAGATTAAGTCGAACTCACTCCGACTGACTCTCTCACTAGCCAAACCCCCCAAATATCCCAAGGCTGTTATGACCCTTGCACTGCTTCGTTTGGCTCATCCAAACCTTGTGCCTCGTTCGAACTTACAAGATCACAATCCTTGAAAATAAGGATTTTTTTTCATCTGGGTCGATGATTTGGGCTCTTCCACCATCTGGGTCTTTTGGCATCTCAAATCTCGCACATATACACATCACTCTCTCTCTCTCTCTCTCTCAAAAACACCCTTAATATTCTCACTTACCAACCACCCCGCTTTTGCTGATTTTTCCCCCATCAGTCACGCTCCGTCACTAGAATTCAATTTTCGACTCTGTCTCTTTTAGTGGACTATGATCTGAATCCGGTACGCCAGACAAGGTGCAATTATTTGGAATTGGGGATTTTGAAAGGTGTTTAGTTGGTGAGAAAATTGAGAGAAAGAAAGGAAAGAAAATGGAATGGAAATTAGTAAGAACTGGGGAATTGCATGAAAGGAAATGGGATTTTGAAAGGTGTTTCATCGGTTGATTTTTTATAAACGGATTCCAGGAAAGCAACAGATGTTCAGGCCAAGCTTGATGAAGGAAAAAATCAAGAGGCAAAGAGGATTGAGGTTACGGATGTAGAAAAAAGGGGGAATGGAGAGGCAAAGAAGACAGAGCACTAGAAAAAGGGTTTCTAGAAGAAAAAAAAAAGGAATAACTAATTATAAAAAAAAAATTTTGACACTGAA